TGGAAACTTACTTTTAAACACAGATCTTTTTGATAATTCGGGTGATGGTAAACTACGAAATCATAGTTATTAAGAGTACATCTACAAAAAATTGACTTTAAAATAGCTGTTAACAAAACCTAATATTGGCAGAAATGTAGGCGTTGAACTAGTGGGGACTTAAGTTAATAGGATTGATTTGAAGTACGAAGACCAGAAGTGTCAATTACGGAAGTATTTATGATAGGCCCAGTTACAAAATATATTGCCACGTTACTTTTTAGTGGAATACTTCCAAGGTAAATAAAATTTAAGTTACGAAAATTAAATTCGGATCCCAAACATTTGTTACAAACGATTTCTTAGTCAGTCTTATGAACTCATTGGTTCCTAAAAAATATAGCTCGCACAATATACAAGCGCAAAAAATACGCGAAGTAAAATATGCGCCAGGAAAATTATTTGCGACTTGTCTTGTAGTATAATTTGCTTTGACTAACATTTAAAGTTTCGAGATCCCAGCGCGTACGAAAATAATCTCGATAAGATCGTAACAGTAACTCCCTTTTCTAACTGAAACTCGTACTTTCTCATTTCAACAGACTCGTCTTACGAATATTATATACACGCATTTAGACCCTGTTAGCTATAAAAGGTGAGACTGTAAAGCAATTGTTGACATGGATTACAAGTTAGTTTTATATTAAAACTATTAAACCACACATTTTATCAACTAAGCGATAGTAACAAACTCGGATAACTTCACATAGATTCCCTCTGGGATTACTGCTAGTACCAATACCGGATAGAGGGTTGGGTATGGGGTTAGCGGCCCTTTCCCGTAGAAAAAACTTGCTGAAAAACACTAACCAGAAAATATAATTCAAGCCATTTAAACTCTGCCCTGTGAGTTTGAAGGTCTTCATCTAGAAGAGTTAAGAAGTCTCATGATGAAAGCCGAGTTCCTTTGGCAGTCATGAGGCGAATGCCCATTCTCACAACCAGAGCAACCATTAATACAGATACATGGAGTGTTCGTACATTGTGAGAAAGTGAAACAACGATCCAATTTGCTGCAGCAATGAAAAGATACAACCTGGCGATACCTGGAATCAGTAAAACACATTGGATGCAGAGGTTGGACAGCGAAGAGGTGCCTTATGAAAGATGCATTTATACTACGGCCATGAAGGATAATTGCCTCACATACACAAGGAATTGCGCTGATGCAGTCCAAAGTGGCACAAAATGCACTCATAGGACGGGAATCTAGTGAACCCAGGGTCATCAAAGGATCCTCCAAAAAAAGAGAGGGGATCACAATGAATGTCATTCAGTGGTATGTACCTACCAACGATAATAATAAGGATGTTAAAGATCAGTTCTATAAAAGGCTGCAGTATATCGTCGAGAAGTGCCAAAGGATTTGACCAGTTTGATAGGAGAAACGATAGAAAACAGTGGGAATTTCGCAAATCTATGTGCCTTCAACAAACTGGTCATAGGTAGCACTATATTCCCTTCCAAACGTATACACAGAGCCAAATGAATTTTACCGGATCAAACTACGCAAAACTAAATCGATCACATCTGCATCAACAGAGTTCAGAAGGACGATGGAGGATGTACGAACCAAGAAAGGAGTCGATGTGACTTCAGATTATGACTTGGTAGTAGCTAAAATGAAACTAAGAATAAAGAGGCACCAGACAACTGGTCGAACAGCAGATATTTCACACTATCTTAAGCGAGATTTCGGAAGAACAAGTACAAACGGACTGCAAAGAAGAATAAATGATCAGAGAACCAAAGGAAGGCGATCTCAGCAAGTGAGAACTACAGAAGCACCACTCTTCCTTTAATACCAGGCAAAGTCCTCAACAGGGTATCGTTAGACAGAATGAAGGACTTTGTAGACGCCCAACTTCGAGATCAACAGGCCGGATTTCGTAAGGACCGATCGTGTATCAGCCAAATTGCAACATTACGGATCATTGTGGAACAATCAATTGAATGGAACTCACCACTCTACATCAACTTCATTGACTACGAGAAAGCAATCGACAGCGTGGACAGGACAACACTGTGGGTGTCTCTTCAAAGGTATACCTGAGAAGATAGTCAACATCATGCGCAATTCTTTGATGAGTTAAACTACAAAGTCGTGCATGGAGCGCAGCCTTCAGACTCGTTCCAAATGATCGTCGGTGTCATACAACATTGCTTACTCTCACCCTTTCTCTTTCAACTGGTGGTCGACTGGATTATGAAGACATCAACATATGGGGGGAAGCATGGAATACAGTGGAAAGCTCGGATGTAGCTGAAGATCTAGACTTCGCAGATGATCTGGTTCTTCCATCTCACATGCAACAACAAATGCAAGAGTAGACGACCAGTGTAGCAGCAGCCTCAACCACAGATGCTGTAAGTACGAAGAGAACTTAGGTTAATACATATATATGTATACTGTCTGGCTGTATACATTTATAACTTGATCAAGATACACTGTCACAGTCACGGAATACGCTGGCTCTAACGTTATAATCATCAACACAAACGAAGATTTTGATTCCCACAATTAATTTTGTAAACAACATCAAGTGAATTTAACACTGAAATGTTTTTTAATTAAGTCCTTCCCTCTAGTTTGTTAGGAAAATTGTATCAGCTTCAAACAAGAGAAAAAGGAAAGTCAGCACTTTCTTCTATAACATGCTACTGAATATCATGAGCAATCAGATACTAGCGAATTTCACTAACCATGTCAAATAAAGTTGAAGGAAACGTGGCAAACTGGTCCTTACTCGGCTGGATGCTACGGATACTGTCCTGGAGATGCATGTTGAAATGGTTACTGACAGTCAAGAAGCTCCAGTAAGCCTGTGACTGTTTCTCGCGCAATTTGAGTCCATGTTAGGTCCCGCAAAGCCACAGATACATGTTGTTGTTCAGTATTTAGATGTTTCAAATCTAGCTACCTGCTTCTACAGAATGCTTAGCATCCGAGTAAACCCCAAAAATCATAATATTTAGACTAAGAATCACAATATGACTGAAACGATAAGTCTACGAACGCTCAAAATGAGTCAGTCAGGCAGTCAGTTACAACGTAGAACTTCGTACATACGTACAACAGTACAGGTTGCCATACCATATTAACACACAGACACAACTGTCGGTTCGAATAGAATGGTAGTGGAGATAGTAAAAGAATAATTGGAAACGAAGAATATTAGGGATCTAAGATATTATTCAAGAAGTATACTTCAGTAAAATAAATTTAGAAAGAGAAAGACAGAGAAGGCCATGTTTCGCAACCATAAATTAGGACGGAGCGAACTGCTGCACAGTACACTCGTCCTTTAGTCAGCAAACGGATATCTCGCCTACGCCATAAGTGTTGCAGGTTGGCAAAAGCCGATCAAACCTTCTTCAATAGAGTCTCTCCACCGATGGCTTATAGCGATGTGATCCAGTTGGGTCGGCTTTGGGGGTCACCAAGTCAAAAGATGTTTTTCCTTATTCCTGAAGTTAACGTTTACTAGAAATAGGAGGTTATCTCAGCACAGTTGCAACAGACGGTCGCCACTTCCGGTCCTCTGAGACGCGACACCATAAGATCCACTCAGGTGTCCTTCCTTTTCACTCAGCCTACCTACTTGAGCATTAAAGTCATCAGCCATTATTACTATATCACAGTGCCTAGCTTTTTGGAAGTTCGAAAGCTTTCTGTAGAGCTAATCTTTCACCTCATCTGAACTGCAGTCAGTGAGAGCGTAGGCAGATATAACGAAGAGGCGATGGCACGTGTCCCTATCTTTCGGAGTCTTAACTGTTCCGTTTAGTCGGACAGTGCATAAGCGACTATCTACTGGGATCCAGTCTAGGAGAGCTAGTTCTGCCCTATGACTTAATAGTAGACCTACGCCAGCGAGACCCTGGGAAGCAGCATCAGGGCTTACAGATACACGAAGAGTGAAACGAGTTGGTTCTTTATCTTGACATGGAGAGGTCAAGTGAATGACGCTACTCGGACCCTGTATGCGTGTTTCCGAAACGCAGGACACACCGATGGCGCGAAATTCGAAAGTCCTAGCTAAGGAAGCCTGTGTCAAATAAAGCAACAGGCTTCCTTAGCTAGCTCGAAATGAGACATTACAATGGCGAACACCAAGAAATTAACGAGTGCAAGATAAACTTCCTATTTGATAACTAAAACAAGACAGTTGACTTTTACTTAAAAAGGATATATCCAGTACGTAAACAGACCAACTATATATGCAATTCACTGTTATTATGAAGCATCAGGAACTGAATTTCAATCACACATTTGTATATGTTCTATTTTGGTCCAATAGTATAACAGCGTAGAGCATACTATGTATGTACATCAGTTCATCTTGTCATAACTCATTAGCAAGGCGAGACCAAACCGTTAGTAATTCATACACGAAATAAAGCCACCAGTCGCCAAAAAAGCAGTCAAATACTGAAATTCCCTCCAGATGCCATAATGCTACTTCTGCCTTGTACACTGCCAACAGTTGTCTCCGCACTACTTTCTACATGTACCACATGAAGCACTTTCACTTAAATCATACGTTTTGATGGGAGCAACCATCTTAAGCCATAGTATATACAGAAAGGTTTAAAACTGTTATTGAAGTGATGTGCTTTGGTTAGGGAGCTATAGTATCACTTTTGAGACGTTTCACCAGACAACATCCCCTACTAGCAAAACTCTATGAATCTAAGGTTGAAACAAAATATCAAGCAATTTTACTGTGACACCTAACATGTTAAAAAACTTTTCCATCCTTTATGTTCTTAGTTCTGACATCGGATAAGACCACTGATCTCTTGCTAATGATAACAACCAGGATAAGAAATGCTAAAATAGATATATCACCCAGATAAGTTAAACAACCAACCAGGTTTCCTACTCACTTTGGTCATTACCTTTACTGATATAAAATAATAGCCACCAGTTGACTTCCGCTGAGGAAATTAAGAACAAAAATAAAGAAAACATGTAATAATCCGACAGGTGAGAAATACAAGTCACATTACAGGCCATAAAATAGACTGTTACAGAACCCTCTAGAGAAAAAGTGACAGTAATTGTACGTTTCAAAACATCAAAATGGAATTATTGCTAAAACAGGACTCATTATTCTGGAGCTTTAAAGAAAGACAAAAATGAAACACCTCATAATGCAAAAGTGATAGACACTGACGATTAAAAAAGATTAAACTCTGAGATTTTGGTACATAATTCTGTTGTCAATAGGATCAAAGAAATAATTGGCGATTAACGCAGAAAAACGGAATGGATAAGGAAAGTAATCACTTATAAAGACATCCTTTAAGGAGCCAAAAACAACGGAACAAATGCATGACTAATAAAAGAATGTTGAAAACTATGAAAACGGCCTGAGCCTGAAGTATGAGCAATCCAAGACCACAACATTAAAGTAAAAGTGGTCGTGAAAACAGCTAATTGTCATGTTAAGAAATTTATGAAAGGCACGTGTGTAATCACTTGAAAAAAAATCCATCATTCTGCATACGAGCATTAGTATGCACCGCCGAAAACAAATCGGACTTAGTGCACTAAACTAGGTAAACAAGAGACTAAATAAATGATGCAATAAGAAAAAAACAATAGTCCATAATCTCAAAAATATTGCAAAAATACCATGAAAACAATTCAGATAAAATGCTATCTAATGTTTCTAAGACCGAAAAAAAATTCAGTAAAATGAAGTTTTTCGATGGTTTTTGAAACCGTAAACGGAGCCAAGAAATGAAATATTAATAATAATGGTAATAATAATAATAATAAATAATAATAATAAATAATAGCAATAATAATATAATAATAACAATCAATATAAATATGGGAAAAGGCCGAACTCTGTTGAAATTAGAGTTCACAAAACTGATAAGAAAAAATGAACATGAATAAACAGAAAAAACATATTGTAAATCGAAAAAAATTATCACGAGCACCCCGAAATATTCACGGGGGAAAATGACTCTTGAAGCATGAAAACTAGAAACCTTCCAAAAAGTACAATTATGAATACTTACAGTAACCAAACATCATGATGTTGAGTAAAACGCTGTACTGCTATGAATGGGTGGAAGAACGATATCTTGGGAAGTATGCTGGCTGTGTTGTGAATATTAACCGGCTGTGAATCATAATTAACATACATATAAAGTATTGAGGACCAGAACATTATTAGAGCTGCGTGCAAGTGTAACAACATAACCCTCCGTTGTTATTTTCAAACAGCAAGAGCGACTGACTTTTGTTTGATTGCAGACGAATTCGCTCAGCAGCTCACCTGATCGACTAAATACAGCAATATGGAAACGATTCCCATGTGAGTCTCCAACTAGTACATCTCCATGGTCGCTAACATCTATACCATTTGGAAAGTCAGTAATTGATTCGCCTCCTATACGACGTATGAATGACCCATCCTCTTGAAAAACAATAACACAATGTGCCTGAAAATACGTACTTAATTACAGGAAATATTACCTTGAAATCGCAGATATAATACTCCCGACCATGTATCGCAACATCTGACGGTTCTCTCATGTGGTTGCTGCAATCAAACCAACGAATAAGATCTCCTTCCTCTGACACAACAAAAACTGATGGTGATACACTATCGATAGCAACAATGTGTCCTGCAAAATGAAAAAGATATAAAATGCAATACCATGTTGATTGATTGCAAGCCCTGCAACGATATCGATATAGCGGATTGGTATACGACGTACAAAATGGCCACTCCGGCTAAACAGCTGCATACGAGACCGCTCATTTCCACGATCACACACCACGTATCGTTGACTCTGTCTGATAATTGCCACTTTGCGTGGATACCACATCAAGCCATCCACCCTCCCAGAGACTCCAAAGAATGAAACAAAGTCCCCACGCTTCGTGAATATCTATGAAACGTTAACAAGTTAAGGAAAGACTTGCCTGAATTCGATGGTTATATGTGTCAGCAACAACTATTTCTTCTTCGAAACCCAGACAAAAACCGTGAGGGGAATTTAGGCGTCCCAACTCGCAACCTAGAGAACCCCACTTTGTTAAGAGATTCATTTGTGAACAGCGAGCCGCTCTCATCCGACTGTATTCGTATAGGGTTGCATTATAGTTGACAGGAAGCTTTTGTTTTAAAATAAGACCCGAATCCACATCTAACGATGGCACATTACTTCCTGGGGCCCTCAAGTTGTCTTCAGTAATAAAAGGATTGCTGAAAACTGGGTCGACTTGTGTTACGTTACACAAAAACTCGGACGGTTCCAGACTGGGCAAAGTAACACTCAAATCACACCAATTACTAGTCTGACGAACTGGAGCACCTGGATTACTAGATCTCGATATGTAGTTATTTAGATGTCCGTTGTTAATTCCAGATGGATTGATATTTTCACGCGTGAGGTCGTGATGTACTGGACTAATTGGCGGTAAATGCATCGTAACCGAATGATCTAAGTTTGTAAGAGAATCCGAGTCCAAATGACCATCAACTTTCAAAGTCAGTTGTTTAAGATCATTGGTTACATCACCTACACTACCTAAAACAGCTATACGGGAATTCGAGGTTTGGAATGCTTCCAAGCCAGAATCAGAAACATGTTGTAAATCTTGGTCTAATCCATTGCCACAACTGAAGGTGCCGAATTGCTGATGGATGGCGTCGTAAACATTTGATATTCCTGGTGAGAAAATAACTTTGGCTGGGAGATCGTTGATGACTTGCTGTTTTGATAACTTGTCAAAACAAGTAAGCACATTCTTAAAAAGTTTGCATATTTCAATATTGGAACATTTTTTAAGGTAAACTTTCACAAAGTCGCATGCGAAATCCACATGATCCACAGTCTTGCTCATGGTGTTAATTCGAGACCATATTTTCATCTCTAAATCGTCATGGATTTCTCGGTTCCTATGGATAAACTGATCCTACAGACGAGTAAGTTAAAACCGGCTTACTCACCTTGATTCTTTCGATGGCTGTTATCCACTGTTTACACGTTTTGATTATCAATGTTTTATTCGCATCTCTGGATGTACTTAATTCTGAAAGTAAACCATGCATCGTCTCAATGGATTCGCGGAAGTCTTTTTGCCTAAGTCGACAACAATCGACCATATCTGACAGTAGGGAGTCAATATGGGTGGGTACCAACTCCAGAAGGATTGTTATATGTCCTTTGTGTTCGCACTCAAAACAGGTCTCACAAAGAGGAATCTAAAGAGGGATAATTTAGGAATAGTGTTTTACATGACACTGCAAACAGAATGATGTGAAGGTAGATTCCGGATGAATTGTGCACATGACTGGTTTAGTGTTCAACATATTCCGCTGCAAAATCTCTGCATTTCCCTTTTCTTCCTCAGTTAAATCAAGTATTTCATGATTTGAAAAAACTTTCATAACCTAGCATTTGATATAACCAAGATTGTAATGCAAACCTTGTGAATATCGCGACACCTTTCACATAGTGTCCCTGCACAATGCAAACATCGGTAAAGAGCATCGTTCCCATCAGTACACACCGAACATTTAACGGAGGCACCATTTACTTTCTGAGAACCATCACCTTCAGAGCGTATTTGAGCAACTGACAGATCATAAGCTTCCAGTGTTTTGACACTCCCAGATAACGTGTCACATCGTGGGCACTTAGTGTACGGTACCATGCTATCATTTTTCTCAAAATTCCGCACACAATCACGGTCATATATGTGCAAACAACTCAGAATAACCGGGTTAGAAAATGGCTTCTCACAAATACCACACAACGTGGGTAGTCCTCCTGCCTCTTCGAGGGTAGAGATTTTACATAAATCATCTGAAAAGATATTGTCCAATCCATCAGATGATTCACATGAGTCGTCCAACATATCAAAATAAAAACCAAGCGGTAAATTAGTCAGATGCTTTGAAAGTAGTACGACGAATTAAAACAAGGATGTGATATTTCATCAACAGACGAGAAGAGTAATGATTAGGAAAGTTTGCTAAGTTATACTACACTGAGAAAGCTGCCAGAAATAGCCTAGTGGCAATCTAAACCAGGAACTATCACAGTGTAAATATGACAGTGATATTTCTCCCTACAAGGTTAAACCTCGAGTGTTGATTGTTCTTAATATTTAAACACTATTACCTTCATTTTTGCAACATTTTTTAAACTTAGGATTCAAGTGGAGTGCCATTTTGAAACGTTTTATGCTCTGTATTTTGGTGCATATTCTTGGACCCTACGATTCATCGACAACATCGTGTACGAGTCGATTCCCCCCACCTACTTATTGGTGTTAGATTGCTATGCCAAACTTTTTTCAAGGATAACTGAAGAATCCTCAAACGACTGTAACACGTCAAAGAAGTGATTAAAGGTATTGGGTTGTTATAATTTGGTGGTAACGATAAAGGTTACAGGTTCAAGTCCTACAGTCTACTTAAAGAAAGGTATGTTCCGATGTGAATGGCTTTGGTAAAAACAGTGTATATATCCCACTTTTCCCTTGTCATATGTACTATTAACAATCAACGCAGCTAGGATATGCGCCGAAATTGTTGGTGCGACTGATGGAGACATCCAAATAGCTTGCAACAAGATATACCCTGTCTACGTGCAGAACAGTGCATGATTGTTTCATTCAGGCATAAGTTCGGCGACCTCTTATTAATCGAAAGAAGTTCCGACTGGAATGAACATGTATGAAAATGGGAGGGCACCAAAATTAGTGACTTCAGCTTGTTATTTCTTACAGCATAACGAGGACATCAAACAATATCCCAATACTAAGTTTATTTTCAGTAGCATGTACTTTGACTTAATTACAGCTGGTGGTTGATGGTTGAGTAAACAAGGGTCAGCTAGATCGGAAATCCGACAAACTACAACATCAGATTCGTCAGCCAACTCCTTCGAAAGCATATTGAGAAGAAGTCCCTCACACTAATGTGAACCATTTTAGGCCTCTAAAAGTTTGATAAGCGTGTTAAATGAACTCACGATCTGATTCCTGTCGGCTTCCAATAACTCCAGACCACATATACATCGCAAAGTCATAATAAGAGTAAACGATCGAAGTGTGGGATGAATCTTTACTCCAAGGTTAGCTTATATGCGGAACAAGTAATGGCATTTATGAGGTTACTAGTGGCTTTGAGCTCCTGAAATGTTCGAAAACTATACAAGAAAGAGGAATGGTATTACTAAGTATCATATCAGAATCATGGAACATGATTCTGCATTGTCTGGATTTTCGCTAAGTTCTATTCAATATTTAGCCTCTATAAACTTTTCTGAAAGATACATGGTGGCTCCTCAGCAACTATGGTGGCTAACATCCCAATGCTTAGCCGGAAAAACATCCGAGCCCATTCCAATAAACACTTCATTTACCAAAATAATTGTTTAAGCATCTAGGGTCGCATACATTTCAATCAAGCTTTTGCGAAGCTCGTATTTATTTCCAAGACTTCCGATCGTTTTCTATTTTCATACTTTTCACACTGATTCATGCCGGTAATGTGGTTCAGATGATTTAAACGGCCTTAACTACATTTTAGTTTTCAAAAGCTAACTACGTACTACCTAGTTAGGTAACTCATGTGAAGATATATTTACAGCGGGAGTACCTTGAAGGTAATATAAACAGTTTCCGAGCACATCGGTTAGTAGGGTATTACCAGTGCGTTTTTATATGCTTCCAGAATGGCGAAACTATTCTACTCTTGTATACATGCGTGATTTTACCAGCTAATCTATAAGGTCTTACGTAGGAGTCAAATAATTGCCTATACCGACTCGACTTACCTTTATGGTCAGAACTTAGCATCTTAAGACATCTGGAAAATACATTTCAACGGGGGATAAAATGCGACATTTACTATTAAAGGCGAAAGACGACAGAATGACCATTAATGTGTAACCGACCCATGCCATCTCGAAGCGTTTCCGCGTTCTCTATTTCTTACCTAAAAATTGTTAGCACTTAATGCCAGTCTCCTCAGTTACTCTTTGTTCAGCTTCGGTGATCGTGTAGTCAGGAAACAATACCAGAACATTACTAGGACCAAAACGTCTTCCAAATTGCCCAGAAGTAACTCCATATGGCACCAAAGAAACGCTCAGAAACTCTAGAATTCCATTTGATGTAATATTTTATTTCGTCACCTACATATCGTTTGCGTTGGTTGAAAGTGCAGTAATTCAGTGATAAACTACGTTTTAGTGAGTTGGTTGCATAATCAGCTGATATCCTTAATACAGGTTCATCATGTTGTCAAAGTATGACAATTCCACTTTTAGCAAAGGGATGTATTTCTATCTCGATGAATAAATCACGTGGGTTCCCTTAAGTGTCTTGATATATTTGAGACTTCTCACCTGTCTAGGAGAGTTAGTGAAAATCGATTCGCACTGCTGACTGAGTCAACATCTTTGATTGGTATTAACCCCTCCTGGAGTTACTGCCTGTCCCAAGCCCGGATAAAGAGGGGAGTCGGGCATGGAATTAGCGACTTTATCCCGTACAAATCCAACTTACCGAATTCCTTGGTACGCGTCCTATGTTGTATTAGGGGCAAAAGGCGTAAAATAAAAAAGGTAAGTAGGTAAATTTCATTGGTCTGCAGAAAAACTTTTGTGAAAATACAGTCAGTTCTGTCACAAAATCCCTAAATTGAACATGAACTTTGATAGTCAGGACAAAACAGTGTTGGCTTATGTCATTTGTAGATATTAGTTAGAATGAGCCATTTTTTCTAATAGTAAGCCTATTCAAGATTTATTTACTCCTTACATGAGAGACTGATAAGCTTGATGTATTCGGTTTCTCCCTTAGATGACATCAACACAGCATTCATAGAGGATGGTCTTAGGACTGATCTTAATGCATAGAAACTCAGGCCTGATAGTCGAAGTCGCTTCATTTATTAGTGAAAACCAAGTTTCTAGTGAAGTCATGATATCATTGAACTTAGCATCAGAAGCATCAATTAACATATGTACGCAGAAAGATCACGTAATATCAGCGGGACCAGCTGAGCGGCTTCAGAGACGAAGAAAAACAGGCTGACTTTCAAAGGAGTTGACAATGCCAATATTTGTTTGAGACGACATTTTGTAGTCCCACAGCCAATAACCCAATAAGAGGTTCACGTTTTGTTTTTCGTTTGGGCAACTGCGATTCACAGATCAAATAAAGGATCACAAGGAATGTTTGCCTGTAGCATGAATGTCATTCATTTTTATTTATGATGACGGTTGTGATTAAATACTCAATTAATCTACCTACTAATATTACCCCCAATAAAGCATTAGCCGCCGACCAGCATTCACCAGCCTACTTTGTCTTCGGTCTTCGTCTTCCGTTCTATCCAATTGCTGTTCATTCTTTTCATATCACCCTAACCCTTCCCGGTGTAATGTGTTCTTTGGTCTTTCGCTTTTGTTTTGGCCCTGAGGGTTCCAAGTTCAGGTTTGTCCTGAACTTATGTACATACATATGAAGTTCTACGTTGCAACTGACTGACTGACTGACTGACTGAAGGCTTGTCCTGTGACGCAGTTGGGTACCTTCCTCAATGTGCGTCCTATCCACCTCCAGTGCTTCTTCCTGACCTCTTCCTCTAATGGGATCTTGTTTTTTCTCTCCCACAGTAGGTTGTTGTTGATGGTGCCTGGCCAGCGGATCCGAAGTATTTTGCGTAGACAATTGTTAATAAACACTTGTATATTCCGGATGTTGACTTTCGTAGTTCTCCAAGTCTCCGCCTCATACAGTGGAGCTTTCTTGACATTTGAATTGAAAATTCTGATTTTGGTGTTGGTTGATAGTTGTTTTGGGTTCCATATATCCTTCAACTGTAGGAATGCAGTCCTTGTTTTTTGCTGATTGGCGCCTTCATATCTGCACCTGATCCATCTTGCTCATGAATGAGGCTGCTTGGATATGTAAGGGTTTTACGTCTACCGAAGCTTCTCCGTCAAGCGTGATTTGGTTGTTGCATGTTGTGTTGTATCGGATAATCTTGCTTTACCCTTTGTGTATGTTGATACCCACTGCTGTTGAGGCTGCTGCTACACTGGTTGTCTACTTTTGCATTTGTTGTTGCATGTGAGATGGAAGAACCAGATCATCTGCGAAGTCTAGATCTTCGGCTACATCCGAGCTTTCCACTGTATTCCATGCTTCCCCCCCGTATGTTGATGTCTTCATAATCCAGTCGATCAACAGTTGAAAGAGAAAGAGTGAGGGTAAACAACCTTATATGTCGCCGGTTTGTACACATATATAGGTCATAGACTGTAAATCTACTGATATGTATCTTTTTAATCACCACAAACCTTGATTCAGCGAACATTATATAAGAGTGACATGAGTGTTAGAATGTTCTCTAGAAATTCGTTAATTTCAGCAGCTTCTGAAAACTGAATGGTACTACTGAAAAACAAGAAATTCGAAGACCATTTAGCACCGATCTCTACTTCGTTGACAATAATACAGATCTTCTATCTCAGCTCCTGACTTTTGCGAAAAGCATGGGTCTTTTGTCTTCAATAATAAGAATGGTATGTTGATGGACTTATGTTAATCGTTGCAGATCTTTTTCCACAGATCCTGCTTTTTATCGAATGTTTCGAACGATTGGGCCCACGCGACGTTTTACGGCGTTACAGTCCTTGACACCTTGATGAGAACAATGGCCACCCTGTCTGAATTTATCTGATCAATATGTGTTAAACTTCTTGTCATGACCTCGGAGATGACTAATCTTGATTAGAGACAAAGATAAGACATGTTAACATCCTAATCTGCATTACGGAAACGGAATACCGAAATTAATTACCTCGCTTTCTGAGAAAACATAAAGCAGTCTGAAAAGCAATTATTGACTTTGTTACCTAAACCTGGATGTGGCATCATGTGATAGAATCTCAAGTCAAGCATAAAATGGCCGCTAGAATGCAGTACTCCAGGTGAGGTCTCACTCACGTGGGGTCTAAAACCCGGAAAATATCTTCTTCAAAGCACTTGATCATACGACAGAGTGACCATCTGTTGCATTACAGTGTGCTAATGTTCTTGAGTCATGACTTGTTGTTAAT